CTTCCTGCCCCATCTTCTCCCAAGAAGTGGAGCCCTGGAGGAATGTGGTGGGGTGAGGAGGGCAAGGGGAAGGTCTATTTTGGGTCTTGGGGTAGAGGGGAACCTCGGAGAGCTTCTGCATTTTCTCCCTCAGCACATCAACAGCGAGCACATTCATGGGGAGCGGAAGGAGTTCGTGTGCCATTGGGGGGGCTGCTCCAGGGAGCTGAGGCCCTTCAAAGCCCAGTACATGCTGGTGGTCCACATGCGCAGACACACAGGCGAGAAGCCACACAAGTGCACGGTGAGGTACCCACTTCCCAGGCTCAGGATCCCTCCCTAAAGAGGCGCTCCCCACGAAGGATAGGAGGACCCCATTATGACTTTCTTGGGCCCTTGGCACTTATGCTTTTGTAGGCCCCTTCTTCTATAAACAAATAATAAAAATTTATATTTATGACTGTGTTGGAATGAAGATGAATGTATTGGTATTATATATTAGAATACTTTCTTGGATGTAAAAGCTAATTTTCCCCTTGCTTTTAAAAGAAATTGACATTTTTTTTGTGTGGGCCCCGGAAAGTACTGTGAACCCTAGGCATAGTACCTACTACTCTGCCTAATGGAGAAGCAAGCCCTGCAGAAGACAGAAGACACTCTCAGACAACCCCTCTTCTAAGATAGTCTAAGATCAGGGAGACCCGCCCCAGGCTTGACCAGGGGCTCCATATGGATTCAGCTCGATGTCCCTGCCGGCAGAGTGCCTCCAGTTACTTGTTTCTCCAGCTTTTGCCTGTCCTTGTCCCCTAATTATGGGAATTGTCCTGAAGCCCCAGTGCTCTCCCATCTTGAGTTATTTTGAGATTTGGGTTTCCTCTAATTCCATGTCCCGTCTGAGAGCTATCCATTCACCCCCATATCCCTCAGTTTGAGGGATGCCGGAAGTCATACTCACGCCTCGAAAATCTGAAGACGCACCTACGGTCGCACACTGGTGAGAAGCCATACATGTGTGAGCACGAGGGCTGCAGTAAAGCCTTCAGCAATGCCAGTGACCGAGCCAAGCACCAGAATCGGACCCACTCCAATGAGGTGAATGCCCCACCTAAGAAATCCTCCCCACTTGAGAAGCCACCTACTGGGGAGATTACCCCATAAGAAATCCCTTAGCCCAGCACCCACTCCACAGAGGTGAGTCACCCCCACCAACACAATTTACCCGGAGAAGGCCTTTCTGAAACTAAGAATTTCCACTTACCACCGTACCTCCTACCTCTAACCAGACAAAGAGCTAACCTAAGATAGACCTATTCTAACAAGAGGAGACCCCTGGCTCCTTCAACTCCTAAATTTATGAGGCCTCATTGACCTGGGTTCACCCCCTCATCTTTCCCAGGCCTGGGCTGTCAGTTTTCCTAATCTTCCCCTTGATCCTCTCATTTTTTACTCCACGGCCCCCACTATAATTACTTCCTTGGGTGCTGTGAGTTCCCCCCTTACTCTCCTCATCCTCACTTGATGCCACTTTCCCCCCATTCCTTCTGCATTCTTTTTCTTTCACCTCTTCACCTACTGTCTTCACTCTCCACTCAACAGAAGCCTTATGTGTGTAAGCTCCCTGGCTGCACCAAACGCTACACCGATCCCAGCTCGCTCCGGAAACATGTCAAGACAGTGCATGGTCCTGATGCCCACGTGACCAAGCGGCACCGAGGGGACGGCCCTCTGCCCCGGGCACCATCTCTTTCCACTGTGGAGCCCAAGAGAGAGCGGGATGGAGGCCCCGTCAGGGAGGAGAGCAGACTGACTGTACCGGAGGGGGCCATGGTGAGACAGCCCAGGCAAACCTCTGCTGCCATACCGACTGCCCTGCTGACATCTTTCTAGTCCCTTCTCAACTTGTCCATCCCCTCCTACCACTCTTCTGTGGCCAGTCCTCCGGTCGTCCTAGTGTTGCTCCTTAGGCTACCCCAAATCTAATGATTTTAGTGTCTAAGGATTTGAGTGTAATTATTTAATGAGTTCAGCAAATTCTTATAAAAGGCTTATTGTATTGTGTTAAGTCTTTTACATGTATAATTTCATGTATTCCTCACAAGAACTTCATGAGAAAGAAACTTACTTTCCCCATTTTCTGATGAGGAAACTCAGGCATAGAGAAATTGCCCAAGGTCATAGGACTAAGAGGACAAATTCAAGCCCAGGCCATCTGTGTTCCAGCCTAGGCTTTTCTCAACATCTCTCCTCTACTTTGCCCCGTCCCTCACCTGCTCAACCCTCACTACACCTGTAAGCCTGCCCTCAACTCCAGCAGTCACTGAGTCCCTAAGTTCAAGGAGCTGTGGGAAAGGGGGAAGGGTGCTGCCCTCTGCCCTCATTTTCCCCACAGAAGCCACAGCCAAGCCCTGGGGCCCAGTCATCTTGCAGCAGTGACCACTCCCCAGCAGGCAGCGCAGCTAATACAGACAGCGGTGTGGAAATGACTGGAAATACAGGGGGGAGCACTGAGGACCTATCCAGCTTGGACGAGGGACCTTGCATTGCTGGCACTGGTCTGTCCACTCTTCGCCGCCTTGAGAACCTCAGGCTGGACCAACTACATCAACTCCGGCCAATAGGGCCCCGGGGCCTCAAACTGCCCAGCTTGACCCACACTGGTGAGACCTGGGTGTGGGGGGTGGTTGTTGGCTGAGATCTGGACCTTCCCTGAGGTTGGAGGGAGGACTTTACTCTTCATTGCTGCAATATAGCACCTTCGTACACTAGAAAAAGGTCCCCCTTCCTTAAGACACTTTCCTTCCTTCCATCAGAAAATTGTTGTGATATACAGAGTCTGTGAGGTGAATGCTGTCCCTTAGGATTGTGCAGTGTACAACCTGTACAACTGTTCATTCACAGCAGCCCTGAATCCCTTGGTGACACAGAAGCTAAAAGGGCATGAAAGAAAGAGGAGACTGAGTGATTAGAGTTAAAGAGCCTTTCTCTGGGATTCCAGGACAAGGCTGTCCCACTGGGGAGGCAGAGTGAGATTCAGGGGGCTCCCTGACCACCCTGTCTTTTCTTCCTGTCACTTGCAGGCACCCCTGTGTCCCGTCGTCTGGGCCCTCCAGTTACTCTTGATCGCCGCAGCAGCAGCTCCAGCAGCGTCAGCTCAGCCTATACTGTCAGTCGCCGCTCCTCTCTGGCCTCCCCTTTCCCCCCTGGTTCTCCACCAGAGAATGGGGCATCCTCTCTGCCTGGCCTCACACCTGCCCAGCACTACCTGCTCCGGGCAAGATATGCTTCAGCCAGAGGAGGTGGTACCCCACCCACTGCAGCACCCAGCCTGGATCGGATGGGGGGTCTTCCTGGACCTTCTTGGAGAAGCCGAGCTGAGTATCCAGGATACAACCCCAATGTAGGGGTCACCCGGAGGGCCAGTGACCCAGCCCGGGCTGCTGACCGCCCAGCCCCAGCCAGAGTCCAGCGGTTCAAGAGCTTGGGTTGTGTCCACACCTCCCCCACCGTGGCAGGAGGAGGACGGAACTTTGATCCCCCACTCCCAACCTCTGTCTACTCACCACAGCCCCCTAGTATCACTGAGAATGTCGCCATGGATACCAGAGGGCTACGGGAGGAGCCAGAGGTTGGGACCTCCATGATGGGCAGTGGTCTGAACCCCTATATGGACTTCCCACCTGCTGATACTCTGGGTTATGGGGGACCTGAAAGGGCAGCAGCTGAGCCTTATGGAGCTAGGGGTCCAGGCTCCCTACCTCTTGGACCTGGTCCACCCACCAATTATAGCCACAACCCTTGTCCTCAGCAGGTCTCCTATCCTGATCCCACTCCAGAAACATGGGGTGAGTTCCCTTCCCACTCTGGGCTATACCCAGGCTCTAAGTCTCCATCTGGAACCTACAGCCAGTGTCCACGTCTAGAACATTATGGACACGTACAGGTCAAGCCGGAACAGGGGTGTCCAATGGGTTCCGACTCCACAGGACTGGCACCCTGCCTTAATGCTCACCCTAATGAGGGGCCTCCACGTCCACAGACTCTGTTCTCTCACTACCCCCAGCCTTCCCCTCCTCAGTATCCTCAGTCAGGCCCCTATACCCAGCCAACCCCTGATTATCTTCCTTCAGAATCCAGGCCTGGCCTGGATTTTGATTCTCCTACTCATTCCACAGGACAGCTCAAGGCTCAGCTTGTGTGTAATTATGTTCAGTCTCAACAGGAGCTTCTGTGGGAGGGTGGGGGCAGGGGAGATCCCCCAGTCCAGGAACCATTCTACCAGAGTCCCAAGTTTCTGGGGGGCTCCCAAGTTAACCCAAGCTCTGCCAAGGCCCCAGTGGCCACATATGGATCTGGCTTTGCACCTAACTTGTCCAATCATAAGTCAGGCTCCTATCCCAGTCCTTCACCATGCCATGAAAATTTTGCAGTGGGGACAACCAAGTCTTCCCATAGGGCAGCAGCACCACCCCGACTTCTGCCTCCACTGCCCACTTGCTATGGGCCCCTCAAGGCAGGGGGCACCAATCCCAGCTGTGGCCACCCTGAGGTGGGCAGGTTGGGAGGGGGTCCTACCTTGTACCCTCCTCCTGAAGGGCAGGTATGTAACCCCTTGGACTCTCTTGATCTTGACAACACTCAGCTGGACTTTGTGGCTATTCTGGATGAGGCCCAGGGGCTGAGTCCACCCGCTTCCCATGATCAGGGGGACAGCTCTGAACACACCCCACCTCCCTCTGGACCCCCCAACATGGCTGTGGGCAACATGAGTGTCTTATTGGGATCCCTACCTGGGGAGACACAATTCCTCAACTCTAGTGCCTAAAGTAGGGAATCCCACCCATCACAGATCCACATTTCCTAAGGGGTGACCATCTGGAGAAGTTGGGAGGAGGAGCCATAGCCCCCTGGGATGCCCCAGGGGTAAGAGGTAGAAGCTGGGGGCTGTATACAATCTGTATATGTTTGGGGGGAAAATTTGTTAATGACACGGTTTCCTGATAATAAAGGAACTGCTTCAGAAAGCCCTACTTTATGTGCTGTTATCTTGGGGAGGAGTGACAATAGAACAAGAGAAGCAGTGGTTAATCCTCCCATCTTCCTCTTTAGAGAGGCTCCCTCACTGTGTCCCAGCCCCTCAGGTCACACTCACAAAGATGGAGACAGTCATCTGGGAGACACGGGATGTCCTCAGAACAGCCCTCTAACACCATACCACCAAAGGGTACCCAACAGAGACCACTGGAAATGCATTTCCTCTTCTTCCTTGGCCCAGTCAGGGGAAGAGGCTAGTGAAGTCGGTGAGCATCAACTGGACTAGCTGCCCAGGGTAGAGAGCATGGGCCGCCGGATCAGATGTCTCCTGCTCAGGCCGAAACAGGGTTGGTCCAAACACAATTCCCAGGTTGTGGGGGGTCATGCGGTTTTTATCTGAGTGTGTTATCACCCTGTAGACAAAGGCCAAGAGAAGGGGTTTTAAGGCAGCAGCTTTGCCACTTCAAATATAATTCTTCAAAGGTTTGAGCCCCTTTCTAGGGGGAAGAGTTCACTCTGGGATCCTTCCACAAGGTGGCCAAGGGAAACCAAGGAGAGAGCCTCATGGGGTATGGAGATGGGGCCAGTGGAGAAACCTTCAGGATACAACTTGAAGATACAATCTAAGATACAACCATCTCTTTCCCAGCTTCAGAGAATGCCCCTAGAGTCCTCTCTGCTCACAATTTGGGAGGCTTTAATTCAAATGTCTATCTTCTCGCAGAAGTCACTACCCAGGCCTAGCTCAGCCAACTAAGCTATCATTGCTCTCCCAATGGGAGACAAGAGGCAGAAGCAACGGAGAGGTTAGATTTCTCTTATTTCTCAGACAGCACCTCTGGGCTTGTCTTGGTTCCCATTTCCCCATTTGATGCTGACCTATCAAAAGTCTTTGACCCTCATAACACATCCCCTGCACAGAAGTTGCCTGTTTCCTCAATCTCCTCTAAATTTAGGTGTTTCCCTATGTTCACTCTATCTGAACAGAGTCCCTGCTGCATGCCCCATCCCACCCTCTGCCCACATGAACAAAGATATTCAGTCTTCCCAACCTGCACAAATGCTCCAGGAGGTACCGCAGAGTGTCATGGTTGGGCTTTGGCATTGAGACTATTAATTCTCGTATTTGAGACAGGCGCTGCTCTGATTCGGAGAGTGCTAGAGAGAAACAGTAATGGGAAGGGCAAGGGGGAGAGGTTAGGGCAGGGTGGGTAACTTATTATTCTTTCCCAGGCCCATGAAAGACATAATTTATCCATGACAGCTTTCTTTTGCTGAGCACAACTGCAGCCTTAGAATTCTTTTTCAATTCTGCCCTCTAAACATTCACAACTAGAGTTGGTACATGTGTTAAAAGTTATTTTCCATCTCTGTGCCCAAGATGAGACAGGAGCATATAAGGGAACCTTTACTCTATCTTTATCACTCATGCCTCCCCAATATCAAGAGTATTGCCCAAAGCTCCCACTCCTTACCAAGGGCAGCACGAAAATCAGGCAGCAGCAGTGAGGGGACCAGAGGCTGGGGTAACTCCCTGAGAAAAAGCTTCAGGGCTCCAGTGACTACATGAATGTCATCCCACTCAGCACTGTCCAAATCTAACCGGCCTTCTGGAAGGAGAAAGAGATACAGAGGGGTTCAGGGCTCGTGAAGGGCCAGAGGGACTGAGAGATCAGGTGTTTGAGAGACGATCCAGCTAAGAAAGACCACAGAAATGTTTAGAGGGTACACAGTGGGGCAAAACAGCAGAGATGGGGATGGGGACAACCTTCCCAGGAGCAGGACATGGAGGAATCCACAGGAAGCATGGGGGATGAGGAAAACTTTAAGGGTCTAAGGGGCCCTCCATGTAAGTACCTTGTCCTGGTTGTTCTGGGAAGACATACCTCCCATCGGAGGTGACTGCCCGCTCTGTAACATATATGAGAAGAGATCAAGAGCTAAGACATGTAGTTCTTGCCAGAAGACCTCCCTGTTCTGCCAGCTCCCTCACGCAGAATTGTCAACAATTCTGAGGCATGAGTTCTTAGTACCACCACTTGCTCACAGATCTCACCTCTGTCCACGAGGAATCGAAGTTTCTGGACCACTGCCAAGTTCCCACTCACCCGGTAAATGCCATCCACATCTAGACCTAGGAGATGAGGCAAGGAGCACATAAGGATTCCTTCTCTAATGTATGTGGTGAGGTCTGGTGAGGGAGCCAAGGGTGGAGAGGGAAGACTAGGGTAACAGAAGTGGGGAATTCTAGGCCTTGGCCTGTTGGAAGGGGAGATTCTGGGGTCTCTGGGAAAATGACCTCTCTTATCCACAGCAGCAACGCAGAGCCGCACAAAGCTTGGCACAGTGTCCCCTTCCCTCTGGCACAGTGATTCCAACTGGCAGCCGAACACCTGGTCTGGGGAGGCACAGAGGTGGAGCCTGTGTCAGCATCACCCATGGGAGCTTTGCTCAGCGTAGGTATTCACCCCAAAGTTGGGCTGGCCCTCCTGGCTGCCTGTTCCAAGGCTTGAGACAGGAAGTAATCCCCTCCCCTAACAATCAGCAGTAGTGGGAAAAGTGTTTTAGTTGTCTGTAGAAGTTTGGTTTAGTGGTCTCAGAAGACCTCTGACCTAGTTTTGGGAAGCTCTACTCTGAGCCTTGCTGAAGTTTTTTTAACTATGAAATGGGCTGATGCTCAGATCAGGAACATAAAAACATCACAGCAGGCACGAAGGAGGAAGGTGCCGGCGGGCCCAGTCCACCTCACCTCGGAGAAGACCCCGCTCCTGCAAGCTTTGCAAGGGCGGTCTCTTTGCGATAAGCCGCTTTAGTTTATTCCGAACGCGGTTCTGCTCGGTTCCTTCCGGACAACGACCTGTAGGAGGCGGGTGGAATCACAGCGTGAGCGCAGCCACCTGGAGACTCGCCCCCAGATCCCGTCCCCCAGGCCCGCCCCTTACTGGAGCTCCTGCGGGCACCGAAACGTAGCAGTGGCTTGGACAAGGGCTCTGACTCCTCTTCTTCGTCCTCCCCGGCGCTCAGGTCTCCCAGCTCCGCGGGTCCGGAACATGACAGACGCAGCTCCAAGGGGTTCTCCCGATCCTAGACCCGGATAGGGGTGGCGGGCGGGGTCGGAGATTGGAAGAGGAGGGAAATCTGCACCCTCAGCTCGTCATAAGGAGACCCTAACCGGCTAGAGGAACCCATGTCCCAGCCCCATCCCAGGGCTCTACACTCAGCTCACCCTGCCCGCCGCCACCCGCGAATCCTATTGTTCCTTCCTCATTCCCTCGGCCCTTCCCCGGCCCGAGCGGGTCCCGGCTCTGTCCCGCCCCCTCCCACCCATCTCACCAAGCGCTCGATGACTGCCCGCAGAGCGTGGTGCCAGGCTCGCAGCTCGGTCTCGTGGTCTGACTGCAGCAGGAACTCATGGCCAGGGACCGTTCGAATCTGGGTGGCCGGCAGAGAAAAGGCTGGGGTCAGCATGAAGAGCAGGGAGGCAGAGAGAGAGACCGGTGCGGAAAACTGGGGATGCGCACTCGGGTCGGGTAAGGCTTTGGGGATGCTTGGGAGGGCACTCACGTGCAGGACGTTGCGGCGGCTGGACAGGTGGCGGCCGTGGGCCAGGGCCGCCCCGCGTAGGTCCACGCTGCTTTCGGGTCGGCTACCCGCTGGTCCCTGGCAATCAGGGGAGAAACTGAGGCTACGGCTCGGTTTCGCCCACTGCTTCCCTCTCGCCTGATGAACCGCAAGAACAAGGGAGGCTGTGCTCTTTTCTAACTCCTTACCTTCCTCTATACCGCCCTCCCCACCTCCACCGCCACAGTTGGCCTGAGGCAGGTAGAATTGTCCCTGAACCCCTCCTGCACCCGCCCTTCCCCCCCTCACACTCACCCAAGCTGAAGAGGGTGCGGTAGGCGGTGCCTCTCGGTAGAACACCAGGCTGTTACCGGCTAACACCACCCAAGACGGGCCCCAGTTCTTCCTGCGGGGGCGGAGGGGTCAGTGGTACTAGTGCAAAGGTCATTTAGAATAGCATGCAGAGGGAGCTTTTCCAACACTCTGCTCGACCCCTATGGATTCAGTCTGACAGCTCAGGCCCCCTCTTTATTCCTAGCTCTCCTCACCTGAGCTTGCGGCCCCCCTGGGCGATTTTGGTCACGTTGAGTGGGCCCGACTTTTCCACCTCCTGGTAAGTGGAGGGAAGCGTATCAATGTCACCCAGTGCTCCTCACAGCTACCCCAGCTTTCTCTATGGGGTCTCCTAGGAGCGAGGGCCTTTCAAGTTGCAGGAGAGCCTGGGTAAGTAGGATACCCAGAAAGAGGAAGATGTTTCTGGAGGAGCAGGAGTTGGGGGTGAGGGCGGGGCAGGGAGAATCTTGACATTCACACTAAAATGGGATACTTACATGGGGGTCATCCAGAACCTGCGGCAGTGGCCGAGGAGGCTGCCAGGCTGAAGGCTGGTCTGAGGGTTCCAGCTGGGAGGTGCGTGGGCGGAGGCAGGGTGAACCCTGGGGGAGGGGATTGAAGAAACAGGTGGAGGAAACTCTAACTTGGGACTCCCTGGCTGTGGGGGAAGAGGGGTGCGGATGTGGGTGATGGGAGGCGGAAGGGGAGGAGGGAGGTAATAAAGAATGGCTTGCATAAAAGAGAAAACGGTGAAAAGATGGTTTTTCTTGCATGTGATCCAGAGGAGGAGGGGATCTCACCTGGGGGTTGAGCAGTTCTGGGGTCCCTGTGTCAGATTCTGAGCCCTTTGCCTGAGGCTGAAGGACACTGTTGTCCCTATTCAGGGTCTGTGTCCCCTCCATGGAGCCAAGGTTCTGGCGGGGGGTGGGGAGAAGTAAAGTTACATCCCGATGTCACTTCAACCAGATCTCAGTACCCTTTTAAAAATTTTTCTTATTCTTCGGAGAGCCCCAGAAAGAAAACACACTGCTTTGGGGTACAGTGGGGGAAAGGAAGAGATTGAGGGGCCAAAGGAATGAGCAGGAGAGAAGATCTCACCGTCTCTCTGGTGCGAGTGCGGCGTGGAGGCTTCCAGGACTTGCAGCCAGTCAGCGAATTTATGTAGAAGCAGCGTCCGGAGTTGTGGTCCAGGTGCTGTTCCCAGGCGTCCAGCCTCTGCAGCGGGGGGCATGCAGGGCTTGGGGGTGGGGACCGAGGACAGCGGCGAAGATCCACCAAGTTACAGTACACAGGGGCCTCTGACATGAGGGGCTGGGGTCCTGCCTGCCAGGAAAGGGGGAAGAAAGAAGTAGTTATTCTTCCTGTGCTCCTCCCCAATCTTTTCTCCACCTAAACACCTCCTCTTCTCCCCCACCGATTTTCTCACCACCAGATCCCGGCTGGGGTGACCCAGGTACTGGAGGAGAAACCTCGTCCCCAGCTGAGTTTTTTTTTCAACTCCCTTACAATCTTCTTTGCTCTTCTCCTCACTTCCTGTTGCCAACTTCCCTCCTCCCCCACCCCACCCCCACCCGAGGGCCACAGGAAAGGGGAACAGGCTTTTTGTGGGGGGGGAGAGTGGTAGTTGAGGGGAGCGCCCCACCCTCATATCCTCCAGAGTAAAAGGAGACAGAGAGGAGGGGGTATGAGTGAGGAGGGGCCATTTTTCATCCACTAGAAAGTAAGAGAGGGGAGGGGCTGAGTCTTAGGGAAAAGCAAGAGAATTACATCTCTAGAGGGGACTTGAGCTGGCAAGACAGGACACAGGACTTCCCCTGCCTTGGACCAGGAGTCAGGAGGACAAGAGAGAAAAGCGTACCCAAGGTTGGCCTTCTTTAAGTCCTGTATCATCATCTGCCATGTTCCACATACCCACAGGATCTTTGCTACTTGCTGTCCCTCATCTAGAATTCCTTCTCATCATCTAGTTTGCTTCATGACTTTCTCTGCCTTCTCCTTACTCAGATTCAACTAAATGTCATCCCAGAGATGCCTTCCCAGACCATCTCAGTCACTCTCCACCATATTTACCTTCTTGTTAACACTTCTCAGTATCAAGAGTTATCTTACTTGTTTACTTATGTTGTCACCCCATGGGAATCCCTTGAGAGCAGACAGTCTGTCTTTCCTATTTGCCATTGTGCCTAGGACAGGATCCAGCAGTAAAAATCTGTTGACTGCTGATGCTTAAGAGAGCTGTGACTCACCATGTTGGCATTGGCCTCTGTCAGCAAGTCTTCCTGGGAGAGAGATCTTCCACTTGGTCCTTCCTGGAAGGGCTCCAGGAGGGTGGGCCTCAAACTGGTAACACTGACACTCCTACACATTTTAGGGGGAAGAGGAGGAGGCTGCGGAGATGTTGCCTGGGCTCTGCCTGGGGTTGCTCGAGACAGGTGCAGCTCCTCCAATGAGCCAGGAAACAACTTTGGCCCTGGAAACAGAAAAATGGAGAGAGAAGGGGGCAGGTGATCAGAGGCGTGATCTCAGCTGGGTTCCTCATCCTGGAGGCTCACAGAGAAGACAAGAACAGGGGAAGGCTGTGAAAAATAAAATGAGACTGCAAAGGCTTGGCACTAGGAGTAGAGGCAATGGGGACACCACGGTGAGGATGAGCAGTAGGCTGATCACAGGAATATAAGAGAGATCAGCAGAAGCTTGGGGGAGGAGAAGCCTTCCAATAATTCCCATAACCAGGGAGGTAGATAGGTTATGGGGGAGGGCTTACTTACCAGGACTCCAGAGGGATTGTCTTGGAGTGATGGTGGTTGGGGTCTGGGGAGGAATAGATTCATCTGTCATGTAGGCAGCTGGGACAAAGATGGGTCGAGAGGTGGAGGGTGCTCCCAGGTGCCTTGCCAACCACCAGTCTGAGTTGGTCTTTCGAAGCAGTAAGAATCTGTCTCCTTCAGCCAGAGACACCTGCCGGCCATCTGCCGCAGTATAAGTGAAGGCATAGAGGGCACAGAGCTGGGACCCCTGAGAAGCGTTTCGAGGCCTCAACCCTAGGCTCCCCCAAGTAATTGGCCACCACTGGCCTGAAAACATAGTGTTCAGTATTGTCACCTGTGGGAAAAAGGGGTGTTGGATATCCAGAAAGGGACGGGACTGCTTACTTCCATGCAGAGAGACATGGAGCTAAGAGCAGCATTCGGGGAAGAGAAGGACAAGAACCCTGGGGTGAGAGGAGGGGGTAAAGCAGAGGGCCTGGATGGGGGTCAGTGACAGGTTTTGGGGGCTGAAAACTCCTGGGTGATGTGACTGGTGAGGAAGTATATAAGTAAGGTGACAGAGGATGTGGTCAGCAGGGCTGTGAGGCCAGCAAGGCAGGAAATCAGAGGATAAGTCTTAGCTTGATTTTCCTCCAAGTACCTTCTGGGGCCCATCAGAAGATCCAGGGGCAGGAGGAGCTGTTGCTAGGTGGTGGTGGGACGCTTGAGCTAGACATAGAAAGATGAAGAGAAAGAATCAGGTCTAAGACAGAACACAGGCAAAGAGAAATAAGTTAATGACAAAAATAAAAAGTTTGTGACCCTTTATTAAATTTACACAGACACCAATGTTTCCATTACCAATCACCTTAGACCTAAAGCTGCATGCTTCCTGTGTAGAGTCAGAGAGGTACAAAGGCAGAGAAACAGAGAGCCAGAGAAATAATAAGACCAAGTAAGAGAGAGTGAGAAAATGGATAGGAGAAACACAGAGGACATGTTTTGGGGAGGTGGGAAGCCTTGATACAATCCTCTGTACTTAAGCCTATTAGGCAGGCAGTGCTTTAGAGCAGCGGTCCCTAACCTTTTTGGTACAAGGGACCAGTGCTCCTATGAGAATCTAATGCCTGATGATCTGAGGTGGAGCTGAGGCAGTGATGCAAGCCCTGGGGAGCGGCTGCAAATATAGATGAAGCCTACTCTCTGGCCTACCAATCACCTCCTGCTGTGCAGCCTGGTTCCTAACAGGCCACGGACTGGTACCAGTCCATGGCCCAGGGGTTGGAGACCCCTGCTTTAGAGTGTGGGTTCATTCTCTCATATCTTAGCTGCGTACCTCCTGTGTGAAAGGAACAGTGTTAAGCACTGGAGATAAGAGAAGGGAAA